ATTAGAAGAAAAAAAGTGTTATGCAACAGTAGTTACCAGCTGTGAAGACAGAGGACTGTTGGGTGTTTGCTCATGTCAGAGGTATGATCTAATGTTTTTGATGGCTGACAGCAGCCTGACAGCGCCGAGCTGAGAAAAACCTGCCCTCAGTCTGACACAGAGGAGAGCGGACACTGTCGCCATCTGTTGGTGATTTGAAAGAAAAGTCACTGTGGTGCTTCTGGTGATGAGCAGCTCAATTTATTGTCACATGTATAGAAAGGCAACAAACTGATTATTACAAAAACAGGGATGATGCATCGTGGAACTGCACTCTTCCTGTAACTCATTGATTGCCTGTATGGTATATTTAGGGGCTAATCCACTTGGATAAATACGTATGTCAAGGAGCCGCTCTCTGCATTAACGACTGAGGCTGAATCAATCACGCATCCTGTGCCCACAGCAGTAAATCAACTGCACACATATATAGAGAGGCAAGGAGCAGGTTCATTCACAGATGGGCTGTGAAGCAACTGATTTGAACATCAGTGACTTATCCCTTATTGAAAATAAAGTCCTGGATAGGTTGGTACAGGTCAATCCTGCAGGCTACATTGATATGACACAGGCCAGTATCCATGGATATTATTAAAACGAGAACATGACTGGAAAAGAGACAGAAAATGAGATGAACGGCAGTCTCAGTCCGCACTGTGGGATAATTGTCTGCTTACAATTTGATGACTTTGCTCTTCTAACGTCTCCAAAGGGAAGCTTGCCAGTCAGGGGGGAGGCTCAGGCTGGTGATTTATGAAAAAAGCCCTAATCAATATTTGATATTAATTTTGTAAATGAATGTCAGAATGATGTAGCCCTCCAGTCGTTTAACTGTTTCACGCAGTAATGTGTTTTATGGCACCGGATCAGAGGCTTTTTCTTTTCTTTTTTTTTACGAGAAACCTGGTCAAAGTCTGGAATTGTGTGACAAATGTAGGCAGCAGGTGTAGATGGATTACTCTGAGAAAGCTGACTGCGCCGATACAGCACTTCATAACACTCAACAGTCAGGCTGAGTGGGGACTGATAAATGTCAGTGTACTGCCGGTCACTATAGTTAGGCGGTACTTCTCTAATTTATATTACCAGCAGATACAGGACAAGGATGATGACTCCTAAGAAGGAAACGTCAATTTAATTGCTGACTTGAAGATTTAACACAGGTTGAGTTGTGATTTATCTGATAAATCCATGAACTATCTACAGTTAACTGAGGCTGTATCCAGGACATAAATAATTAGCTGATTGATTGTGGGGTTTTTTTTGTTTGTTTTTTTAAAAATTTGTATTTACTTAGTGAGGATAGGTTAATTGGTAACTCTAAATTTCCCATAGGTGTTAATGCGGGAGTGAATGTGCGAATGGTTGCCTCTGTGAGGGTCCTGCACAGTATCTTAGCTGCTCTTCTGGATGGAGACGTTGGATGTTGTTCCTTGGATCTGTTGGAGCCACTGGCCTAGCTTGGGGGTCACTGCACCTAGCGCTCCAATTATCACTGCGACCACTGTTACCTCCACATTTTCTCGAGCTCTTCTCTGAGCCCTTGGTATTTGTCATGTTCATGTTCCGTCTTCCTGATGTTGCTATCATTTGGTATTGCTACATTTATCACTACAGCTGTTTTTCTGCTTGTCCACCACCACAACTATGTTCAGTATGTTAGCTTTTACCAGTTTGTCCATTTGTATGATGATATTTGTGGGTGTTACATACTGTGCAGGGGCCTGTCCTTTCATGATGGTTCCTCCTCTTGGAGGAGCCAGAGGGAACCATCATGACGGGCCCCTGCACAGTATGTAACACCGGCAAATAGAAGAAGTGGCTGATATTGAGAAATCCTACCAAGGGCTGGAAAGACAGCACAGAGGCACTAATCATAGCAGCAATGGAACACGCTCTGAGTATAAGGTCAATAGAGGCTGGTGTCTACAACACCAGGCAAGACCAGATCTAATTTTTCATAAGTATAAGATCATAAAGAATAAGATTGATTTATTTCTTTTCAAAGGAACAATCTTTATAATATTTAATGTCATTATCATGATATCAAATGTCAAATTTAATTTAAAATAACTGAATAAGCAAAACTAAACCCAAACATTTTAAGGACACCATAAAAGTAATGACTCACGAGTGAAAACTATGACTACTAAAACTAAAGCTAAATATACTGAACTACAAATACAAATTAAAGTTAAACAACAACAACAACAAAAAACTAATTAAAAAATGTTGCAACAATGTCACAATTATAATGACCTAAGTCAGTCATTCAGACTCTTTGTCCTGACAGAAACAAGCCTCCTAAGGTTAAATGCTCTGCTAGCAAGCTAACTGTTTATTGACCAAGCTACTAAGCCAAAATGAGTTTAGACACACTTTTTCAACAAATTCTTTTAACTGAGCAACAGTTAGCAGAACAGACACAAAAAATCAAGGATGGTAAGTTTTGTTTATTTCTCTCAATCTGTTTTTTTTTCTTTCTCAATTATCACTCTTCAGCTAGCAAATAAGCTAACAGCTAAACGCTAGTGACAATGCTAAATATGTATCTATACAGGCTACTGTATTTCAATGTTTAATGTTGCATCATGTGATGTTTTTTAGTCAAAGTAGCCATCATCAGATGCAATGAGAAGATAAAGAGTGTCACTGAGCAGTATGGAAAGAACAAAGAGGAACTTGATGAAAAGGTAAAACTGTTGCTAGTTGATGCTAACGAGTGAATTATATATATTTTGTGACCAGAGGCAAAGCCACACTGTTTTTAAGATGCTCACATTTATTAGATTTTAGTTATAAACCATTTGGTTCTTCAAATAACCCTTTGTGTGAATGGTAGCTTTAGTTTACTGAGCTTAGATTTATCATATAAAATGTCTTAAATGATCTTGAACTGTGTTTATTAAATATTTACACACTAGCTGTAAAATCATGTCACAGGGTGATGGAAAGTGTTCACTTGTTGCACTGTATTTTAGCCCCTGTAAATTTGTCCGTTTCATGGTACTGTGATTTATTACATAACAGCTTTATGTTTACACAGCTCAGTGCGCATTTCAGAGGTCCCATATTATTAATTTTCTAATAAAAAAATAATAAAATGTTGTTCCTGGAATGTTTTACCTGGGATGTAACATAACACGTGTGTATGTATAACAAAAATAGTTAATATTATAACAGGCCATTCTACTCATCATCACCTTTATAAAACTGAAAAAATACACACATTGTAAAATATAAAAACTGATTAATTAAAAAAAATCAGACATTGAACTATCAAAGCAGCACAATGGCATATTGAGGAGCTGATCTAGTTTATGATTTAGAACACTTAATCTCTACATTTAATGGCTAATTTCCCCAAATAACACTACTGAGACCTTTAGTTTGTGAGATATAATGCCCCATTAAAAATAATTTTAAAAAAGAGGCTCTTTGGTTTTTTCACAAATATTGCAAGGATCACACCCGAGTGATGATTTGAAACACATGGCAGTGGTATCTTTTTTTTTTTACTATTGAGACTGCTTACATTATGCAGATATGCAGGCTGTGTTTACTGCACAGTGTTTACAGCTCTCGTGATGTAAGGTCTTATGGTTTATGAGAGCTGTCTTAAGATAATTACAGTGTTTATAGGACTTGGAAGCTGATTGCGCTCACTGAAACATGCTGCACTTTAGTATTACAGCAGAAGAAAAGCGAAGCTACTTTCTCCTCTTTAGCTCAAGAAACAGACTGAAATTGCACCAAAAAGTTATGCCCAAGCCAAGAATCTACCTTCCTACATAATCGCTCTTTCTTTATGTTTATGATATCAATTTAAAAAGAAACCTGAATTTTTGCTGAACTAGTTAAAGAAAGAGGATGTTTTTAGTTACAGTTTCAAAATAACTCCAGTTATTATGTCTGTCTCTAATAATCAGGTATAGAGTATATACTGATTGTTCCAAACTAGAACTTTGATCTCATTTCACCCCGTCTGGTATCAAGTGATATTGCTCACATACGAAGCATCACCAATCCATCTCCCTCGCTGTACATCTGTCTGTCAGACTGTGTGTCTTGATCATCTCCTGTATTTATGCTTCAGGCTCAGCAGTTGTCTGCAATGAGGCTGCGGTGTGACCTGGCAAAGAAATATGAGAACCAGATGTTAAAGCAAATTGAAGAGCTGCTCTGTCAGAAGAGCCACCTCAGGGATCATCTAGTAGGTTGAAGCCTGGATCAATACTTATCTCTCAAATTAGACAGGTTGTATCCAATATGGATACCTCTTCAGCTTTAATAGTTTAAACTTCTTGATTGAATCACAGTACTATATAGAATGACCCGGTCAATTAATCAGTGAATGCACAGATCAAAAAAGTGGTGTTTGCATTTTTGTAGAAACTGAGTTTGACATTTTAGAATTGCTTGTTTAAAATTCCAGAGGTATTGAACTAGGTTATGTAAAAAATAATGTAAAATCAGAGCCTCATGCAGAATCCCACCAAAAATGGTGGGATTCTGCATTCAACACAATAAGCTCTTAGAGCAAAGATTTTCTTTTTTTCCAAATGTTATCATAATTATAGAGTAATATTAAGTCTGTAGTACCACAAGGTCTGTTAATATTGTTGTTCGAAGTATTTCCCATGATCCTCCTTTTCATACCAGACCAAGATAAAGATGGTGGCTAAAGAAGAGGAGGAAAACTTCCTTCAAGAGATCTCGAGGTTTAACAGTGACTTCAGTCTTAAGGCGAACAGAGAAACAGTCTTCAAGAACCAAACTCACACTGTGCTCCTGGATCTGGGGAAGGAGGTGGAATCGATACACAAAGGTCGTAAAACACTTTGCTGTAGTGTTTTCAGGGAAGACAGAGGTTACATGAAACAGATGTGGCCCCGAATGCTGCTCTAGAAATGATTAGTTATTTTAGAAATGGGCTGAATAGATCTCCAATGCCTATAATTCATGAAAAAGAACGTTTTCAAGGACTCCATGCAGCACACTCCTTCTGCTTCTGTGGGAGTTAAGAGAGTGAGTAGCAGCCAGGTGCTGGTAAAGGAATGCATTTGATTCACTCATCATTAACAAGTGTGACCACCTTAATAAAAACAGAACATTTACCATAATCTTCCCAACAAATTCACGCCAAGGTCAGATCGTGCAGCGTTTAGAGCAGCGGTCCCCAATATTTTTTGAGCCACGGACCGATTTAGGTCTGACAATATTGTCACTGAACGGCCTTTAAGGTGTGTCGCAGATAAATGCAATAAAATAAAACCAGTACCGGTACATAAAAAAGACGATTTATTCATAACACATGGGAAAAGACCCAGAGAAACTGAGTTAACGATAAAAACCCTTAAAACCATAAATTTCACACC